TTCTGGATATCATTGCAATTCGACATAATTCAAAATTACAACGATGTAATTACATTTTTCGTTTTAATGCTTCGCTTACCGACGACATTAATTAAAATAAAATATCGAAAGCACTTGAAAAATTTTCATCAGAAAATTCAATAGTGAAGCCGAGCAAGCAGATATTGCAGTATCATCGTTGATGGAACGCGTGATACCGACGCATATTTTTTAAAGAATTCCTTCAGCGAGTCTCTCGTGACTTCCTTCCCATTGGCTCTATTTCTCACTTTATGTATCATCTATGTGATAAAGATATGCAAATCCAAAGGAAACGTCGTTTCATCTCCCGTGGTGGGCGTAAAAAGGACGCGCACGTGTAGTAGTTACGCACAGACGAGTTACCATTTACCGACGCACTTGGTTTCTTTATTAGGAATGATATAGTGTGCATATGTGTGCGCGTGCGCGTGTGGGAGTAGAGTAGGCAGTGTTATTGTCAGACGTTGCGTCTTTCTTCTGATGGTAAATTTCGATCGACGCATTAGAGTGCCTTGGTTCGTGAGAAAAATACACAAGCCCTTTGACATATATACTGGCTCGGAAATTGCGGGGTTCCGCCGATATTTTCGCTCTTGACATTTTTCACACCCGTTAGAGAAAGACCCGATAGAGAAAAAGGAAGAGAGAAAAGGGGAAGAGAGAGAGAGAGAGAGAGAGAGAGAGAGAGAGAGAGAGAGAGAGAGAGAGAGAGAGAGAGAGAGAGAGAGAGAGAGAGAGAGAGAGAGAGAGAGAGAGAGAGAGAGAGAGAGAGAGAGAGAGAGAGAGAGAGAGAGAGAGAGAGAGAGAAAGGAATAACTAATAAAATCCTGTCTCGTAATTCCGGTCTGGATATTAATTTTTTACAAAATATCAATCTCAACAAAATATTAATTTCATATTTTATCAGGGGAATATTTAACGATTAAAAACGGTTTACCATGAAATTTTTCCTACGAACAGATGAATTCCAGACATGGGGACTCTTTGTGTACTCAAGGAATTCGTATTCATTGTCACGAAGCTTCTCCTGGGGATATAATCGTCTCGTCTTTTGCGACGGGGCGTCGTCAATTATTCTACAATTTACTTCTCGTTGCCCGCGCGTGTTTTTAGTCGGCTCCGAGGCGGCCTTTTTGTTTACTCAGGCAGGAGCATGTAATTTTTCAAGGATCACCGAATCGCTCTTCAGGGTAAGCAATAGGATCATCCTTAAACCTTCTCCACAGGCTACTTGCCTTTCGACTTTCGCATAGAATTACCACCTCGAGCAACACTCACAATAATGTCCTGCGGTTTCTCAGACCACAACGTGGGTGCTGGCCCCGAGTCGCCATGCCCATGAGCACGAGAAGGACGCGATTCGTTCGACCTTTCATTCATTGCGCGGCCGATGAATGAAACCAGGACAGACACTTGGCCTTTTGGGCGTCCCGGAAACGTTCTCAGTTGGTAAGTCAAACCCCGTCGCCACCCTTGAGGATGCTCAAGCCATTGTCCCTGTCCTCCCTTCCCGCCTTGCTTCTCTTTCTATCTACCAGTTGCATTTTATTATTATGTGCGCGGAAGTTCGAGAAAAAAATCCCATTGGTGTGAGAAATTTGAATTTTACGCGCTCGCCGAATCGTTTTCGTACCTGCGTCGCCCGGGATTCTTCTGAGCTACAGGTACTCCAGGCTCACAATGACGACGTCTCGAGCACTTGTGAATGAAACTCTTACTACGGGGCCCGAGCCGAGAAGAAGAGATTTTACCATCTGGTCAGTCGGACTTACTACGAGGATAATAACGGCCACTCGGGGGTCATTGAAACCGACGATGATCCCGCCAGAGTCCGAGGTTTTTATGTCCCGTTTATTTACGGTGTCTCGAAAGAGAGAGAAGAGGGTGGGGGGAGGGGGGAGGGGCGGCACGCAGAACCAGTGGCAAAGATGATCGGGCCCGACGCGGACACGTGTTTCACGGGATCAGCGAGAGAAGTCCCGTTCGCTCGACGACAAAGTGAAAGAAGATCGACCCGGCCGGCGTTGTCCTTCCACCGGGAGCTCGCGAAGGAGGCATGGCCGGTTATCGATTTCGTATTAGCGCTCGCAGACGGTGAGAACGAGGGTATTTCTCGTAAACTCACGTCGGACCGGCGCGCTACCGGTGTTCTTTCCCGGTGTTTTTTTTCTCGCGTTTATAGTCGCGATGTTATGGACCTTGCCCCCTCCGTTCGACCGAGCGTTTTACGGTGTGCACATAAGCGCCGGACTTTTTTATGCTTTATTAATAGTTTAATAAAAGGGTGGCCAGTGGAGATCGCAACGCTGAAAGTCGATGTTTTATGCGCCGTAAACGGAAATTCCGGCCGACCGAAAGGGACGAGAGAATTTTTATCGAAAGAGCGGATATTTTTCACGTGTGGCAATACGTTTGAAAGATATTTCACCTTCGCTGACGTCCTTTAATGACGTCTTTTTCGGCTTTTTCGCTTCTCTCAAACGCGTTATTTGCTTTTCATTTCGTATCCGTGTTTACTTTTTTATTATGTAATGATAACGATACATTTTATATTTACGATCGAATCTTTTGCATTAGAGTTACATTTCCGATATCTTCTGTTGGACCGCGGAAAATAACTCGACGTTTTTGAGGTTGGTGATCGCAGAAAGATACGTGAGTGTCAGGTGCCATCGCACGAGAGATCGATTTCCTCGTTTAATTCGTCGTTAGTGGCAGGCGATACCACAGGTGACGCAATTTATGGCGATACCGCGAACGCGATCTTCGGGGACATGGGTAAAACGAGTCGACATAAATGTGAAGATGTGTGTATGAGTGGTATATATCGATGAGTGGTTTACGTGAGATACTCCCCTGCGATACACGATATCTGTATCCGATATCCATTGGAAGGAAATAAATTAGCAAACTTTTTATCTTCGCAAAAGAGAAATACCCATTTAATTTGTCATGATCTGAAGTGGTGCGTAAATACTATCGCGATAAATCGAGTGACTAAAAATATATTCTGCGGAATTCAATCATTTGATGGTCTTGCACGTTTTTACAAATATATATCTCTTTTACAGATATGTATCTCTTAGTTGAAAATAGCGTGTTGTCCGATAAGTTCGTAGAGATTTTTGCGAAATATGTCAAGCATGACATTTCTCTAGTTAGACATATTCAATTTATTGACATTCATTCAATAATGATATTCAATATTGATCGTTTTTCTTTTTCCATAACAAGCCATAAAAAGAAGAAAATAAAGTCTCTCTCTCTCTCTCTCTCTAATTGTAAAAATATCAGCTAAATTTTCTTTAAAAATCCGTACGAATCATCCAGTATATGTATGTTATAAAAATATTATATTGTTATTTTTGGAAATATATAAATTAATAGGGGAAAATATTAAAAATTTGAAAAACGCTATCGATTTAAATACGTGTACTCGATTACATTAGTATTCAATCTCTAAGATTCTGTGTACGTAGTTAAAGGTTAATCTTTTAATCTCTCTTCGAGCTATCTTTAAATATGTAAAAAATTTAAAGATCGTTCCTCTGTACAAGAAAAAAAAAAAATACGTTTCATATTCCAGCAGTAATGCGATTATACGCTAACAGCGTCGTTTCGAATTGCCCACGATTTTTTATTTTAACTTTTTAATCTTAAATTATTATAAGCATTATAATAATTCTATAAATTATATGTATGTATATATATAAACTTTTAAAGCCTAATATTATAATTATAAAAGCTCATTAATATGCAATATTGATCTTCAAATCCTTTTCATTAATCTTACAAAGTCATTATTAACGCAGTAATCTTTCTCATCAATGCGATTTATATACTGCATGCACTAAATATAAATATAAATATATGTGGAGTGTACAAGTATACACTCACCATTGCTCTTTGACACATCCTGCGATGTCCAGACTTCCAAATGCAGGTTCTCAGTATCCTACCTTCCAAGCGTGCAATCGTCGTTTCATGTCGGTTTCATTTCACTTTATTGCACTGCGATCCGGACCGCGATAGTACTTTACGTTTAACGATTGGATGAAAAGACGAGATAAATCGCAGCGAGTCGTGAAGTACGTGAAAAAATTATAAACCGGAAATTACGACGCTCTCGATAAGGTCGAGTAAAAAAAATGAAAATATTCCGTTTCGTAAATATTTATAATTTAGCAAAAGACGAGATTCTTGCTTCACGGAAATTCTATATTTTCACTCTAGTCTTAAATATAAACTTCGATTTTCACCGGAATGACTTTACTACCTTCTTCACGTGTAAAAAATAACGAAGTTAGCGCGATCATAACAACTACAATTTCGCGAATTTCGCGTGTTCGCGCAATTTTGATACGCAATTTTAATGCATATTTTGGTATATAATTCTGGTACACAATTTTGGCGCACTATTAATACATATTACATATCGCTTGAAACAATTAGAGAATCATGTTGAACAAATAGCTCCGTTTAATAATTCACTATTTTGAACTAAATATAATAAATGTTAAATGTGTATCTCTGTATGTAGGTTTAATAAGTTAATAAATTAAATAAAAAATAATGTGATAAAAATAAAATGATTGTTTATAAAAACGATCCCCTAAGTGTCTCGAGTTTCTTACATACGTTTCAAAACTCAACACTGAGAGAAAAATATTTGATATTTTTTTGTAATTATAAATGTATAATAAAATAATTGTAATTTAAAAAAGTTATTTTTGCAGTAAGTGTTTCTATAGTAATATTGATAATTATATTATATGCATATAGTTACATTGCTTTTTTATTGGAACTCAAAACAAATAAGGTTAGCGTTACAAATGAGACAAATAATTTTAATGAGATTTATAATTTTCTTTCTCTCCGTGTATATATGCAATAGTACTACAAGCTAAGTAAATCGCATTGATTTTTAATATTACAATCACTAATAGATCCATCACCTGAAATCTTTGCTTTTGACTCACCGATTTCCGGAAACTCAGGAATAACTACGTTCTGCTACAGTTCTGGAACAAACAGATACAACATCTCCGATTAGACACACGACTTAAAGCGACTTAAAGACGAGAAAAGCACGCGTGGGTATAGCCCTGTTAACCTCTTATGATCGTTGTGACTAAATACTACTTACTTAGATAACTTAAATTTAGTTTTCGATCGCAAAAGGTTAATAAGTAGTAGAATGCAACAAGTCTTTTAACCTTACCTCGAAGCCGACTCCGCTCGGCCCGAACCGGATCCTCCGGTACAGCAATCGCATCCGCCGAAATTGCAAGTTGTAGTTCCGGACACTCACTGGACACTCGCGTAAACACAGTTCGGTCGGGGAAACGCGCGTCAATTAACTCTTAGACTGCAAACGATGCAAACATACATGAGACGAAAACGTTCACAAATAGCTGACGGCGCTTAAATATATCTGACATTCAATGCCCACCGTGTGTAAAAGCGTCTTTAGGCGTCCTCATTCATTAACATGCGCGAAAGTGCGATGCGAAAGCATCGTTACAATTAGCGTTAACTTCACACCGTATGCAGTGATCATTTCACTTCCGTGCGACCTGCGGCGATTTAAAGGTTATAAAAGGTTAATTCGATACCGACGAAAGTCCGATTAAGTATCCCGAGATTCGACGAAATATTTGAATTTCTTGAGAGGAATAGCAACTAACTCACCGATAGCCCACGTAGTATGCGTGGTGTCACACGGCATTCTGAAATGTAAAGGAAATATTCGAGAATATATACACGAGTGTAAGTTCAACCGTCTTGCATCAGGCGATACCATCCATGAAAGACCAAAATATTTTGAGTGATTTCTTTCGATCGTTCAGTGGTAACGACGTGTGAGACACTTCACGGGAGATGATGTAACTATCTCTCCGCGTTGTTTTGGTACTTTTATACATCTCGCACTAGTTCGTGACCGAATGATTACGACTTGTGCCGAGAAATGCCGAATATATCGCGACGTAGATTCGGCACGTACGTCTGTCGCAATTCTCATTGAGTGATTAAAATATTTTTTGTCGGTTTTTGAAATATTGCTGAATGTTGTACAACTTGTTTTGTTGATCATTACGAAAAATACACCGCGGTTCTAAATGCAGCAGTATTTTCCAACATTTGTCGACATGTTTCATCGGATTCACGCGCGCGCGCGCGCGCGTCGGTCTAATTTAACCTAACCTATTTTGCGTTTCTCCGATTGAATTCGAATCCTCAACCTACGCGAGTGTCAGTACCACAATCGAATAGCCGGAGTGTCGTGATGGAGCAGAGGAAAACAAGATCGCAAAATTGAGAAGCCAGGACGAAGGACACAGGATGCCGGAATATAGGCAGCGATCTCCGTCATGTATCTCCAGGTATGTGAAATAATTTATTACAGACGATGTTTCGATTTTAATGGATACTCGACTAACCTGCCAAAAATAAAGATATCCGAATCGAAATTTAGATCGATATTTACAGCTGACCGTTATTTGATAAATAATTATAGCTTCATGAATATTAGATTGCCTATCGCACAATTTTTTGGTACTTGCGTATTCATTTTAAAAAACATGAGAAACACCAATCTTTAAATCTCGAGGTTCTCCATTGGGGTCCATCGAGTTCGATGGAATTTGCGGGGTCCATGTAGAATCTAAGTCTCGATTCGGGAAAGAGAAGATATGGCAGCGACTTCTCGCTTGAAAAAAAAGCACCATTTGCATCTTTCGTCCTCTCGGCACACTGCGTGATACCCGAGATTCGCTCACATCGGTGAGACAGAAAACACGATCGCCGAGGTGTAGCAGCGATTTTATCGGGAATGCAGCATTTCCTTTCTCTCCCGGGGGAGAAATTTCACGGGAAGCATGCCCGCGGGAGTTCCGCGAATCAATTTAGTCGCGCGGTGGTTGCGATAGAAAGGACGTTGGATCCATTTTTGTCGCGCACTGCAAGAATTTCTTTGTGGCGCGCGAGCGTCGGAAGAATGCGAATCGGGAATGTTTCGGAGCATCGCGGTGAGAAGGGGAAGCTCGAGCAATTTCCGCTCTTTGTGAACGATGCGACTCGCGATGAAACCATAATCGGCTGCGTCACCGTCCGCATTGACCCTCGACTTTTTCGCTCATGGAAACTGCATCATGCGCGGAGGAGTGAAACCGATCAGACAGACGCGTCGACGAATGGAACAGTGTCATTACGCTCCGCCATCGCGCTCGTCAGGTGATGCACTTAATTGCCAGTTAATTGTCGGTTCTACGCGTGAGATGTATCGCACCATGTGCGTCCGCGGGTCGATTAATCTTTCGAAGGATATGAATGGAAATCGACACGTATGGGGAGATGGAGTTTCACTGTATTGTTCTTGCGTTTCTTTTTATGCCTACAAAACACAGCGCATTCTACGGGCGAAATACAGTTTCTGTGTCTAGCTTTTGAAGCTGTCACTCATACGATAGGCGAAATTTCGCCAGCCAAAAGTTTAAATGTATAGAAAAAGCTTCGTCTCGCGAGGATAATTTGTTTAACCTTCGACACTAAATAATCGTAATTTTCGTCTGAGTCAGATGAGTTTGATCGTTTGTAGAAGTAAACTCGACATCGTTTATCTCAGGAACCAACGTCTCGCAGAGATGATTTCGCCTCGAAGTCATCTCGTTAAAAACCGGGCGAGTTTCTTCCGCCCCTGGCAAAACCAGACGAGTGTGACTTACGACAGCATGATTTGCTGGTAAACAAACCGCATGACTGTCTGCATTTTTTGCCGGCCATGGTTCTTCTACGAACATGGTTGGCATTCTATTTACCGGCGAGATCATTTCTCGCGGTGAAATGGTAGCAGCGCGCGGAGACGCATTCGCGGAAGGAGCGGTCCGCTTTAAAAATGCCCTCAACCGCTTTCGACTTACCCTCTCGCTCGCGGACAGCTCGCTGATTTGTATGTTTTTTACTGAGCACCAAATAACGTTTTCACGAATAAGTCGAGTGGTAGAAGCGCGGCGAAATTTTCAACAGTTGCGACTGCAGTTCCTTTTCCGCTCTGTAGATTGGAATATTAATAAACATTTCTGAGCGCGTGGGGTGTTGGGTATAGCATCAAGCTGTTCCGAGACGAAAGTGTTTAGTTTTTAGGTTGTGAAATTTGAAATTTTATAATTGCGCACTTTCTCAGGTCGTTTAATGAAAATTTGAATTAATTGGAATGAATGAACAAATGTTTGAGTGAGGAAACATTTCAGAACGTTTACATACGTGTCGTTATTGATTTTGTTTCCGAAGGGAAAAATGCGGCAGAAAGTAGGTTTATTTTCAGTTAATTTTAATTTTCGGGACGGCCCTTAATACGTTAAATTAACTCGCAGGTACCGTGCGGCTTTCGCTGACAAATGGGAATCCGCGGAAAAGTTCTGCGTAAAAAACGAGCCCGGGATTTCGTTGTGTTCTGCGATAAAATTCGACGATTTATCGCGCGAGACGTATACCTCGTGGCTATATCACTCTCCGGAGATTCTGGAGATAAGAGGAAGTAAATCGCGAGCCGCGGTGCCGGGAATTTCAAAAGAGCGATATCAGACTAAAATTTAAGATCCATGCCGGAGACATATTTATAAAACGAAATTGTTTCACAGTTAAATTGCGTGTGAGTTAAGCCGCCTTAAGCGGTTGTAAATTTACGTGTACTGCCTGCGTAAAATTGACGTTGAGTCGTATTTAAAAATTGAGGGCTCGCTCACGCTACTTCACTTCCATTTCCACACTAATCCGTACGCCGGTAAACACTTTCTCCCTGGCACGGTTGAATTATTTTTCTTTCGTTGTCCGCCTTCGACATCTGAATGAAAGGACCGTTATAAAAATAAATATATAATTATTGTGTATTTATATAAATGAGTATTCTCGTGTGCTCTCATTAGCTTGGTAAAGTTATTTCTCCACGCAAGTGTTGCATTACATATATTATGGCAATTTGATAGCGCTGCTGAGGAGGGCTTAAATGAACCGAAACTACAGGCATTAAGTTATCAAACTCTAAAAGGCCGGTAATACCTGTAACTTAGTTCCTCATCGGCTTCTTTCGCAGTTAATAATTGACTGGATACTGCCTACGTTGCTCTGAAATGCTCTGAAATGGAGCTGCATTTTATGATTATCAAGCGCATTAATATCATTGAAACGCTTATATTTAAAACTAGTGAGATGAAATAAGCGGAAATTGACTAACGCGCATACACGCACACACGTACAGCCGCAATTTCACGGTTCGCGGTGCGATTTACGTTAATAAATTGCGAACACTTCTCACCATACGCGTCATTTGTTGGCTTCGCGGTTGTAATCGTTTGTCGATACGAACGCAACGGACCTGCTGTGTTCTCGCGTGCAATTGTAATTCCGCCCCCGAATTACTTAAATTCTGCTCTAATTGCGAGTCCTTGTACAATAATGATTCCATTACACCGCAGCGTATCAAAGTCGTTATTGCGTTTACCACGATTGGTCGTGTAGTGAACGATGCACTCTTGTGTTCATTAGTACGCGCTTCGATACGATTTACCAGTTATCCTCGAAGTATACAATAAATTCGCGATACGTTGAAAATATAGGAGAAAATCAAACGAGGTGTATCGGAAGACGCGGTTGAGTGGAAATTACATTATCGATCTAGAAGTTTCGATAAAGAGAGAGAGAGAGAGAGAGAGAGAGAGAGAGAGAGAGAGAAGATCGATCAAGAGAGTTTTCAATTTTATACAGAAGTAATATTTCCACAAAGTTTCGTGCGATGTGCGCGCACACCAAAGCGGAAGCCAATAAGTGCCTCGCACTTATTCCGCAAATACGGTGAACGAAAAAGATCGGGTCGAGATTTATAGGCCGATGCGGTGCCAAGTACGGGGTATGGCTCGACGAAGCGTGTTGGAAGTTGGAAGAAAAAAAAAGAACAAGAAGAGAGGAATGACTTTACGTGAAGGAGAAGGGAAGCGAAGAGTGAAGAGACGGGGGGAGGAAATGGGGTGGAGTGCATCTGCGGCTGGCTCGTTCGGTTTCGCGTTCGTATTTTCCCGCTGCACTCACGCAAACGACGGCTTAACCGAGCCGCGACCACCGTGCATGCCTCCATACACGCGTAAGTGCGAGTTTTTGCTTCTCGTCGGTCTTTCTTGTGCACGCTCAGTTGTATCGACGACGACGACGATGCCGATGATGCACTGCGAGGAGACGCCCGCCGTTTGTGAGACGTGTCCTCCTCGAGAGGCGTGAAATCCTTGGCGCTTTTCGGAGATCCTCGAGAGATCCACCATGTCGAATCTCGATGGGGGGCTTTATTGCGCGTCCGACAAATCGCTCGGCCCTGACGCGGGAAATCGGCGTGGAACGAGGCGGCAGCTGGCGAAGACTTTCGCCGACTTTTGCAGACAGTTTTTCAGTGCTTTGCTCTGAAGAACGATGACGAGGCTTGTCGAATTATCGCGGTCGGAAGCGCATCATCGCAGTTACGGCCGTGTCGTTACGACGAAATCATGTTGTTAATTCTTTAAACGATATATTCGTTGTAGACGTTGGAGGAGAAATTGCTGTTACAGTGAAACGTTTATTAATACATACGTGTAGCGATAAACGCTAAGAAGTAGCTCTTGTTGTAACTGGAAAGTGCACGCTCAAGAGCTTCAAAACGACCCGCTTTCCTGGGCTTTCAGTTAGTGTCCACCGAGGAAACACGAATAAAAGGATCCGAGTTGCCTAGTTGGAAAATGCTCTTACTCAACTCGAGAATGGTACTCGA